CAAAATTAAGGCAGGAATTTAGCTGCATTCAACTCTTCAGCCTCTCTGCACACCAGAGACTTTTGGGAACTGATCTGTTTGAAGGGCAGAGTGAAAACAAATTTTAGCTGGAATGTATACTCTCCATTATCTGTATATCAGGGTTACAGCTGTAAGAGGATGGTTATTTGTAGCGCAGAAGGAGAGGAAGGGGAGGAAGGATAGGTGCAGATTGTATTACACAGACTAACTTCCCATGGTTTTATTCTCTGGGAAAAAAAGAGCACGTGATAGACTTCTAAGACAAAGTGTTGCTATCCTGTCTAGACTGTCAGTTATTTAACATTTACTAAGCAAAGCATGTATTTGAAATGAAACGTGTAGCTTTCCAGGTAAAAGAAGTGATTCATCTATTCATCTCATGGTGAGAAACACTTATTTTATATGAGTAGTTTTGGAGCTAAAATAAATTAGAAGTTACTGTGGTCAGATCTGGAGTTTCACAGGTGAGTCAGTTTTCTTCCTTACCCTTTTTCTTGGGTCATGAGTGGCTCCTGGCTGTCACACTTCTCTCACCAGCATAGATGCTACTCATCTGTCACATATGTCCAAACAAAGTCAGCATCCTGCTTCTAGCCTGCTTCAGAAATGATTCTCTCAGATTACATTTGTAAGGAGCAGAGCACCATTCCTGGCAAAATCCATCAGGCCCAGGACAAACAGCACAGCAGAGCTAGGACTGGACAAAGCCTGGCTTGTTTTAACAGTGCAGCCTGCAGCACTGTCCAGTGCGGGTGAGTACAGCCGCTGAAGGAATGTGGTCTGGTACTGAATGCACAAAAGCAGCTGAAGCATCCCCCTCTTAGCAGGACACTCCGAGAACTACTGGTTGGGAATTTAGACGTGAAGACAACATTTACGCATAGAAAAGACACTTTGCAGCAGTGAGACTGAAGGTGTACACCCATTGCCTCACTGCAGCCTATTAGCAGTATTACCATATTAATGATTTAAAGGCTTATGAATGCTAAGAATGTAAGAGGTCAGTTTGGCCCGTGGCCAGGACTCAACCCACTGCTCACCCACAGTGAATAAACTATTTCATGGTTCGTTTGTCAAACAGTGTACCAGAATGCAGGAGGATATAGAGTCACAGTGTATGTGGACTGCACAACTGAATGCCACTGCTTTGCAGGAAGGGTATGGAGATCCAGTTGTTGCCTGTGCATAGAAGATTTGCAGAGAGATACATCCCTGTTGTGTAAAACAAATTCATTGTGGTGACCTGTCTCTGTGCTGAATAGGGAGTTTATATATGTGTGGCCTGTATGATATGTCAGGAATAGAGTGAAACTCTAAGTAAGCAAAAGCTTTTTATCTCAGGACAGCAGCTTTGTTAGTATGGAAGACTATGCTATAAGCACTGCAAAAAAAACAAGGAGGCTGACAATTTCTATATAAAAAAATCAATATGAAATACAGATAAAGACAGATATAAATATCCTTTTTTAAAATTTCCACTTGTTTATACACCTCCCACCCTCTTCCTCTGTCATTACGTATTTTTAGTTTGAATGTGGCCAAAAGAGAATCTGGAAAAGGTGATGGAAAGGCACAAGAGGAACAACATAAGAAGTTGCATGTGTAAAGGACTCACCAGAGCTAGGTATATAAAAATAGCAGAAGGAACTGAGTACTTGAAGCTGATGACATCTGGACAATGGCATCAGACATAAAGGTTTAGATAACAGAAAACAAGAGCAGTGCAAAAAATGGTGGGAGCTTCCAAGTGAAAACCAGAATGTAGGAATTTTCTGAGAAAATAAAACAAAAAACCCCAAACCCCAAAATGTCAAAAACAACCAACCAAAAAACACCCCAAATCACACAAACCAACCAACCATGAAAATCCTTATCCTTTGCAAAGGTAGAAGCCATGGAAACAAAAGTGACTTTCATCCATTGGATTTCCACTGCCTTTAGTCATTGCTTATGCTGCTAGTGACAACATTGCTTTCTTTTCACTGATCGCAACTTGTGAAAACTAAACAGGGTACCATGTCAGGGCCAAATGAGACTAGGAGGAATTGAGAGAATTGTATACTGAATTCAGTGGTCACAAAGGTGAAACTATTAGAGATTGTACTTTCTTACCTAGATGAAATTCTGATCTTAATGCAGTTTGCAGAAAATTCTTATAATGATAAGGAGAACTACTTTGATCATCTCATCCAAAGATGAAATGGCTTTTCTGGGAGACTGGAGTAGCTAGCTATTTGCAGCTATTATTAACTAATCTGTGATTTCAGATATTCAGAGTCTCTGAATAAAAATTGTCTCTGGAAATATGTCAGTTATTATAGTGATTTTGATTTGGAAAGCATGATCATTCAGGGATCAGAACACCATTGTGCAACTGCTGTAGCAGCTTTTCTATGCAACTTCCCTAAGTGGGCAAGAAAACAGGAAAGCTGGAAGTGGGAGAGCACCTAAATTAAGCACACTTGGCATAGGAATCACTGAAATTATGCCATTTGCACTTCAACTTTTCAGGAATAAAACAGAGAGTACTTAGACTTGAGTTTGTCTAGCTCAATAATAAATCAGTAGTCCTTATGTTTGAATAATATCATTTATTGTTTTCTTGCTTATTCTTTCCTGATTCTGAGATGGGAAAAGAGCATTTGAAAATGCTACTTCATAAAGAGCAGCAGCAAACCAAGTTTTGTACCTGTGCAAGGGAAAATGGTTTGTAATTAGAAGTGCTTTTAACATAAAGGATTATGAACTTAATGGTTTAATTATAAAATGTGTCAGAAATAATTATACCTAACTTTAGGACTTTAAAAGACTTCTTATACCTCTCAGATTTCTGTGAATCTAGAATAGACTGACTAAGCTTTTTTTTTTTTTTTTAACCACACAACAGAATCACAACCACCCTGTGACAGTAACTACATCTTGCCTTGGCAGTCCCGGGGTAGTCCTGATTGGACTTGGTGATCTTAAAGGTCTTTCCAACCTAGCTGACTGACTACTTAAAAAAACCCTAATCTATACATAACATATGCTAATTATTAAAGCAGAATTTTTAGAAAACTGATAAACAACCTTTTATGTTGGAGCTGCACAGAATGCATTATCCTGATTCTGGAGTCTATTAAGACATACTGTATTTCTAGTGTTACATTTCATTAGCCATTTCATAAAACAGCTATTATTTCAATGTTCTCCTTCAAGTGATAATTAATATTTATTAATAAATACTTATAACCGGGAATACATTAGTAGTGAGGCCCCCTGTGAATAATTCAGACTGATGCATGACCTTAGATAAACCATGCTTGAGATTGAGGTTAGTAAACAGTTTGTCTGACTACTGAAAACACTGACCTTGGCCGGCAAAAGCCATCCAGAAACCACTCCAAAACATTTGTTTCCAAGTTTACTGGTCACCTATAGCACTAACAGCTTGGTTCTTGCTTATTTTTACTTCTAGTGTTTTGTGTTTGCAGTGGGTTGACTTTGGCTACCAGCCTCCCTCTCACTCCATCTCCTCAAGAGGACATGGGGAGAAAATAAGATTAAAAAGCTTATGGGTCAAGATAAAGAAAAGAAGCTCGCTCACCTGTTGCCGACACCACCTAGAGAGGTTCAGTTCAGGAAGATTTAATATAATTTATTGTCAATAAAAAACAGAATAGGATAGCAAGAAACAAAGACAAAACTAAACCTACTTTCTCTTTCCCTTCCTGCCCTCCCCCATCCTTCCTAAACTCAACTTCACTCCTTTATTCCCAGCTCTTCTACCTCCTCTGTCTGGCCCAGAGTGGCACGGGGCATAGGCATCCCCTCCCCAGGGTGCAGCCCTTCAGGAACAGACTGCTCCAGTGGGTCCCCACAGGTCCTGCCAGAAAAACTGCTTCAGTGTGGGCTCCTCTCTGCCAGGAGCCTGCTTCTGCATGAGTTCTCCATGGGCTGCAGCTTACTTCAAGGCACGCCCACCTATTGTGGCATTAGGTCCTCCACAGACTACAGGTGGGTATCTGCTCCAGCACGGTCCTCTATGAGTTGCAGGGGCACAGCCTGCCTCACCATGGTCTGTACCACAGGCTGCAGGGGAACCTCTGCTCTGGCACCTGGAGTACCTCCTCCCCTCCTTTTCTGACCTTGCTCTCTGCAAAGTTGTTTCTCTCACATTTTTCTAGTCCTGTTTCACAGCTGCTGCACAGCATTTTTACCCTTTCCTAAATGTGTTTTCACAGAGGCAGCACCAAACTGACTGAAGAGCTCAGCTTTGGGCAACGGTGGGTTCATTTTGGAGCCTGCTGGAAGCAGCTCTGTACAATGTAAGTGCAGAGACCCCAGGTCTCTACTCACAGAGGTCACCCCCACAGCACCCCTCACCTCCCACTGCCAAAACTTTCCCACTAAACCCAGTACTGTTTTGTGCTTTTTCAGAAGTCAGACTTTGGCTTTCCCACAAGAGGTGAACTGCCCAATAGTCAAGCTCTGCAAAAAGATACAAGTATGCTAGACTGATCACGCTTACATGCTACTCCTTTTGAAGACTAAATTAATCCTGAACTAGACAAATCTAATATTTCACTAAATTCATATTTCCCTGCAATCAAATATGTACTACTGTATCTGTAGATAAACAACTGCAGGGAGTTTCTGTGAGGCATTATAAGAAGAGGTCCTTGATCCTTACTATATTTTGTGAAAACCAGAGATTGCCAAAGCCTTCTACCTCCCATAGTCAGTCATCTTTTGCAGCTTCGGTAAAAGATGAAGGAAGGCATTGCTTTTGTATGAAAGGAAACACAGTTTGTACAGTTTCTCTAAGGCCAGAAAGTGAGTCAGCAGTAAAAAGTTAAGAATTCAGAGCCACATAATAGTATCCAGTTACTTCACTGTCACAGTCCAGCATTTGGTTGCTGTCTGTGCCAGACCACACATCCAGTAACATTCAAGATTATTTCAGGAATAAATGATTCTGCAAATTAATAGAGACAACATCCAAAGCCACCATTTGGTTTTATTTATTCATGGACAGTGTTCCTTAAAATTGGCACCACACATCAGAAAATGCTGCCATCACTGACACAATTTTCACCCACCTAAATTTGTATAGCAAGTTAAACTACTGATCTTGAAAATTGTGACATTATAAAATACTAACTTTTCCCTTAGCAAAGTAGCAATCCTCATGATTATAAATATCTTAACTGCATGTATGACAGGGTAAGGTACAGAAAGCAGTGACAAACTCTAAACCCCATCAGGATAATAATATATAGCTGAAGTGGTATGTTAATCACATTAATACCTCCAGTAAAACTTGAGGCATCAAATCAAAAATACACTTTGGTTTTAAGCTTTTTTTGTTTTTACTTAAATAAGCTTGTGCCTTCAATTCAAGTGCCATCTCAGGAAGAAGCATGCTGAAATGATTTAGAGTTACAATTTTAGTCAGTTACAAATGATCACATGTAGTTATCATCACAGTTAACATTCCAAACCACATTTTCTACAACATTTCCTAAACTGTTAATACCTCTCTACTTACTGAAAAAAATTCCAGCTCAAAGTTTTACTTTCCTTTCTTTATCCTTCCCTTCTCTTTTGGGAAGGGATTCAGGATGTTTCCTACAGCATATTCAAAACGGTCTAAGGAATTTAAACCCTGCCTTTTCCTTTCCCCCTGGACAGAAGAGCTTGTAATCTTGTTTTTCCTGAAATAATAGCAAGGTGCAAGAAAGCAACAACTTCATGGGTTTATGAAAGATAAGAAATTAAGTAATGATAAATTACACATACAAAAACCCCGCAAGATTCTTCATTCTAGTCACGAATAGAGCAACTTTGTTTTGCCTGCAGAACATGAACGGTGCCTGAGTCAACAAGATTGAGTACTTCAGTGAAAATTCCTTTTTTGGTAACTGGAGAATATGACTTGGTGCATTGTTAGCAAGTGATGCAAAGCAACAGGCAAAAAGGGTCAGTGCAAGCAAGGAGGCAGTAACCATGTTTCACACCTTCGACATGTCACTGCTCCCACCCTTGAATGCAACTGTAACAAGTGCAGATTAATTTTTCTTTCCATAAGCTCAGTTAAAGTTACAAATGTCAAGTAGAAAAGCCAGCTGCTTCTCTGTGTATCTGCAGTTAAAAGCCTGTACTTTTAGTTTTTCTGTTTCTTGCTAGATACTGTACACCAACTTGTATATAATTTGCTGACAGATAATGCTGAAGTTGTTCTTTGCTGTTTATCGTGTACACAGCTTAAGTAAAAGCTATGCCTCCTAATCAGCCTGTGAAAAAATAAAACTGGTTCCAACTCAGAGAATGATAAACTCCTTCAATCTGATCCAAAGCCAAAACATTATCTCTGGAAAGAAGTTGGCACAGTAGGAAACATCATCCCCCAAATACTAAGCCTGTGGCAAAACCAAAATTCAGCAGCAGTGAAGCAATTCAGACTCATGCAATTTCCAAGTCCTTTCTCCTATTTTGAGAAAATATCAAAGCTGAGTTACTTTGTTCAACTGTTTGCATTTTTAATCAGCAGGAGATGTTCTAAGATGGAGACTTCACAGCTCACATGACCTTCAGCAACTCAAGTTTTAACTGTTAAGCTGTCAAAGCAGCAGCTGCTTAAAAACATTGAAAATTCATACTGAGTTAGCATTTTAGATCACATTAGGTTCTCAGATAGTGCCATGGAAACTATGAAGTGTTAGTTCTGTAACAATTGCCTCTGGCTATAGAAGGCTGGAATTTGAGAACTGCACAGTTCAGACTTGCAAAAGCTTTTGTATTACAGATGTTGAAGAGGCAATTCACACAAAGCAGTACTGAACTGTGCAAGTTTGGTTGGCTGGGTTTTTTTTTTTAATGTTGATGCTCCCACCATTAGCAACATAAATATTCCCAGGAGCATCATATAGAGTTTGCTTTCAAGAGGTGTGCTTGTTCTAATAGAATAAATGGTTCTTCAAAGCTGAAAGAATTAATGACAGTCATTGCACTGCATCAGTTAAACGCAATTCCTTGATAGGAGCAGAAAGACTTTAGCCAGCAATTATAATGGCAACAATCATTTGGGTGGGATGTTAAGAACAACACAGATGAAGTATTAAGCTTCATTTTAATATAATCTCTTATTACTCACAGAATAGATTTTTTTTTCTTCTGAAGGAAACCTGACAGTGCTGTAAGCTACAGGCACTCTTCCCTGCAAGAAATTAGGAAAGAACCAGTACTCACCCTGCCTAGAGCAGTGTGCCCTCCGCACTTCCTCCAGTGGGTGGTCAGATGTAGATGGGAAACAAAAGAAATCAGGGAAAAAAAATACCCAAGGTTTTTCTTAGCTGTCTACTTATTTGTAATAACCATTACTGAAGAGACTTGTGCAGACCTACCAAACTCATGTTCATCAGTACCTTTAACACTTGGATTTAGACTGCTTTTCATCACAACACTGATTTGAAATGCAGCTCCAGCTGGCTAGGTCCCATCCATAAAAGGAAGGTAAAAATAAGCATAGAAAGGTGTAATTTTCAGATAAAAGTGAGAGCAATATTCCCATATATAGTGAACAGACTCAGCTGACAGGTCAGAATAGATCCCACCAACCATGATGCTTTCCAGCCCCTCAATTCCTTTTTTTAGTAGATGAGGTTTTCCCTTGACTGGTCAGTGCAGTTGATACCCACAGTTAATGGACTCCTTTCTCAGCAGGTGCAGGGCAAGCACTGTGGGGTCCACACTGGTCTTTTTCCTTTTTCTCCCATTGCTTTCTTCTCTTGCCCTATTTGTTCATGCTGTCACCTGGGCTTGTTCCTAGTGGCACCTGCCATCAGGTCAGACACATTTACCTGTACCTGCCATCTCCTTAACAGCTTTCAGTCTTAAGCAAGACCATAATAACTTACTAAAATTCTTCATGAGCAGGCAAATGAAAACTTCAGAATACATACCTATGAACAAAGCTGGGCTTTTCCCCTTCAGCAATGGGAGTTTGTATTTTGACACAAGATGTCTAACTGCTAATTTTCCAGTTTTCTACATTGTTGAGGAAAACTTCCTGAAAGCTGGTCATACTAGCCATTCACTGAAGTGTAGAAAACAATATGGACAATTCTATTTAAGGATTAATAACTCTGCTCTTAATACAGCTTGTCTTGGGAGACTGTAAAACTGCAAATATCCAGTTTAGAGCATATGTATGTTACACAAGAGTAGGTAGTGTCCTGCTCTCCCTGAATACAGGGGCATCAAAATCCAGCATCTCCTACTTGTACCTAAAGTACAACTTGGGATGTTGTGTCACCTTGTAACAAACAGTAGAAAAACTACAGAAGTGATAGTCTAACTCCTGGAGAAAGCTCAGGAGGCTGTTTGTAAGCCATGTTCATGAAACTGGTGAATTATTCAATACTTCAGGCAGAAATGAACATCAGACCCATTAAATAAATATATCAGGTCTTCAACATGTATAAGCTATACTAACCTGAATTTCTTTGTAGGCTTGAAGTATAAAGAGTTATGATGAAAAGTTTTTACTTGTTTTAAGGGAAGCAAGGCTAAATTTTAAGTTTCTGCTTGGTAGTTGCACTTCTCCAATTAGACTTCATCAGTCAGTCACTGAACCCAGATTTAGTTACATTGTATAGTTCTATTGTTAGCAGCAGTAAATAAGTACACTTCACCCTTTTGTACCTCAGTGCCAGCTGGGCACTAATACCAGCACTGTTAAGGACTAAAACAAACAAAAAAAACAAACATAGAACATAGCCCCTCGCCCCAGCCCAGTCTGTTCAGAAGGCAAGTAGACAGCCATGAAAAAAAAACCCCACAACTACATTATGCTTTGATCAGTGCAAGAAATATTCCACACAAATTTGCAAGTATACCTATTTTCCATTTTGAGTTGCTGGGGCAAATTCTCAGCTTTAGGCACACAACCTTTTGCTGTGTTAAGAGCCTGTGAACATCAAACACTTATTTTATGACTAAGGCCTACAACCATTCCCCAAATGGGAAAAATGTTAGTTCACATCAGTGGATATCCCCCTACCTACATGACTACAATCAAATATGGGCAGGAGGAAGTCTTTAAGCAAAAAGATCCAATATCAGAAGTGCAGCTGGGCTCACTACTCCCGCCTTGATCTTGCACATGTGCCGTCTTCATCATATTCACCCATCAACTGTAACATGTAAGTTCCAGTATAAAGAAGAAACTGTCCAGTTATCTGTGCTGCATGGGACATCAGCTGAAGCACCTTCCTAGAAGAAAAGCAGTCTGTTAACAAAAAAAGTCACCAAGGAGGATGACATTACCCCTTTCTCCACACCCACACCACCTTCAGGATGTGTTAGGCAGATTTACTTAAGAACTCTCATTCCCTTTCACTTCTAAGCTGGTAATTTTTCTACCTTCTTTCCAAAAAAATACTTCTGTGGCTCTTGATCAGCAGAAAACTATTGACTTGTTGGCAGAACCAGAAAATACATTTAACAAAACAGGCTGGCATCTTGTTGGGTATTTACCATCCTCCTGCAAAGCCATCACTCAAACTACCAGAGTACTCCCAAAGATGACTTCGCCTTGGAGCTTGGCAGCATTCCTTCATCATGAAGCCACCTCATATCTCACCTTTAGGCCATTCACTAATACAACACTGCATGTATCTCTAAGCTACAGACCAAACTAGATTAGATCTGAAGCTGAGCAATCACATTACTGTGGATGCCTGACAGCAAAACAGGCAAAGCCAGACAAATTAATGCTGTCCAAGCTTCAAGGCTTAAGAATTCTCAGTTCACAACTACTTTTTTAAAGATTTAATAAATATCAGCATTCAAATATATAGTACTGTGTGAGAATCAGTATAGATCCATAAACTAAGATCAGCTAAGCATCAGAAGTCTACAATATAAACTGTGGATCTCCACAGGGGAATAGAGATGATCATATCTGAATATTCATTTATTCAACTCTGTTATAGCTATGTCTTCCTTCCATTCTCCAAGAAACAACGGGGACATCAGTACTAAGCACTACATTCAAGCCTTGCCCCCTGAAAGTTAATCAGGCCTTCGTAAGTATGAAGCTGACTGAGGCACTGGTACACAAGAACCAGAACCATTCAAAAACTGGAAAGGGATCAGTTTCTGAAGATGCAGAAATGCGATCAGCCTTCCTCTCCTGCAAAAAAAGGAAGATTTTTTGAATTCCTGTCTGAGGAAACATGCAGTTGTGAACTGTTTGCTGTTAATTCACTTCTCCTTTGAACTCTATTAGAAAAGGTAGTCTTCTTCCTAAAAAATCATTTTTTCCACTATGATGAAAGAAGGTGTGCAGTCAAAATCCTGTTCTTCAAAAGAGTAGAATACTCTGTACTTAGAGCCTGGGAAGCTTTTAAAAAAAACCACTGTACCTTTATTTATGCTTCCCACACATACGCTGTTTCAGTATGTCCTTCCCTCCACCAGACAGTAGAGGCCAAGGAGTTTTACAGTTGCAAAGAAAGCTGCACCTGGTACCAAGCTTTTGAACAGCTGCAGCGTGCTGCTTGCACACAAGAGCAGTTGTCACTTAAGCCATGGAGTGAGTTATTTGTTGAATTGGACATTTGATCCTTCAGTTGAACACTACAGGGAGAAACCATTAGGGGAAACACACTAATGGGGTCTAGCAGGCTTTGAACCCCACCCACTGATGAAGAACTGCAGCATTTTAAAGTCCTTTGCACTCCAAAGGTGGGCCCAGGAAGAGGGCATCAATTCACAATGTGGAGCTCATTAGCAAAGGCACTACAACAAGAACATATCATCTGTCTCCAATATCAACAGCAAACTGAGACAGGTCATCTCACTGTTTTGTAGTGCCCAAGGTTATCTCTGTCACCCCTGTTCCTTGCTAGCAGGCTATTTTCCCACCCTGACACTGGCACTTCCCTTATAGCTCAACTCTGTAACATAACATTGCTTCCAGAAGAACTCCACAGCTACTTCAGCTGTTTGCCAGCACCACTTCTTTCTCACCAGCTGCCCTGTGTTGGCAGGGATGCAAAACTGTCACTTCGAACTTTCCTTAGCAGTGCAAGTTCTGGTGCTGCTACTTATCTCCATAGCAGATAGCCAGATATGAGTTTGTTGTGGCTCAAGAGACCTGACAAACATAGGAACTGGAAGAGTGCAGCTGTTCAAGGGCAAACCTTTGCTTTGAATAAATCCTAATGTAGCCAGTTCTGCAGGTGGGCATAGCATATAACTGGATAATCACTGCAGCATTCCTAGAGAGACGAGTTTCATATACAGTCACACTAGTTATAGCCTGAAAGATTAAGCAAGGGACCATCTAAGTGGAAGAGGTCAGTCTGACTGGAAGAAAGGGAACAAGATTAGCATTACAATATTTAATACCTGCATCACAAGACAAGGGGCTATTTGAAGACTTTAAACTAAAGACTACACGTTGCTCAGAGGAAGTGAAAACCTCACAGCATATACAACTGTCTGTTCTGTACAGAGCAGATCTGGTCCTCAAGTATTAAAATGCAGCAACACACCACCATTGTGTCAAACAGAGTTTTAAAGGTCAGGTAGAGAAAATCAGGGCTGCAGCTTCAACAGCTGTCAAAGTATGGCACCTTTGTGAAAGCGTCTGGGCTCAGAATAAGTTTTCTTCAACCATGGCAAGACACAGCTGGTTTTGACAAGGCACAGGCTTTCAACACACTGTTGAAAGCATTGGACAAGACAGGTATTATTTTTGCCCTGCATAAGACAGCATTTTCCAACAGCCAGTTCTACTAAACTCACAACCCACCCACCACAGATTAGTCCTGTAGGAAACACTGGTCCTTGTGAGGCTCCTAGTTTGCTTGGAGACCAGTTTGCTTAAAAATAGTGACATCAGGTGACAAATTCACATTAAGATATCAGATTGTCATCTCTCTCCCATTTTCCTTTACCTCCATGTAGCTCAGGTAGGGAATTTGGCAGGCAGGCATTGCAAAGCCTGAGCAAGCTTTAAGACCTTTGTCATTGGATCTCAAAAACATTTCATTTCATCCCCTTGTAGGTCCCCCTTTAAGGAGTCTAATGCTTCTTCCTCAGCCTCGTGCATTACTCAAACAAGTCTAAGAAATCTAGGGAAATTCTCTCAGGAAAACAAAGAGGCTGCACCTACACCCTTGCAGTTAATATGAGCTGATAAGATTTTTGCCTTGGGGGAAATTTAAAATTCCACCATAAAAAGCTATGCAAAGTTTTTACATGTCAGCTATCCACCTTACAAAACAAGATTCAGCATATTGGCCAGTGTGTAAGAATAAATAAAAATACTAAATTTATAAACACACCTGCTTCACAGAGCCAGATTTTACATTAATGGATATGCCTGATCAATAGTGGAAACATACTTACCGCAATACACTTTTTGCTCCCATACATTTGATGTCATATGAGACAGAGTAGATCTCATAGAAGGTGGCCTTGATGTTTAGGCAGCCAATAAAATCCTTAGGGTGCAGCTTGTACAGATCAAATGTGATGTTAGCTACTCCCATTTTCTTCTTTTGTCTCGCAGTGGCAAGTCCATTTTTTGTCTAATTTAAAGAGAGGGAAAGACAGTTTGTACCATAAGCCAGGAAACTACAGCAAGACAATCATTAATTGTGCATCTCTAGAAGCAGCTTGCTTATGCCAGTCTTGGGGCTAGCTCTTGATCAGCTCTAAACTAGAATTAAAAGCATTAGCACAGCAAAAAATAAGTCTGTAGCTTACATAACTTTGCTCAAGTCCCAGCCAGGCTTCTGGAGCTATTCCAAACAGACACAGAAGTCCTAGAGTGACATAGCACCTCCTGAATATTTATTTTCTGTAACACAGCTTCTTCTTCAGAGCATACTGAAGCCACAAGTAATGCCACTGGACAGTATTCCTCCCATTTAATTATCGTGGTATGTTCCAGCTGCTAGCTGAGGCAGCACACTGAAACAGGCCCCCAAATAACCAGGGTGACATTGGGTCCTTCCATTTAGGAAGGAACACAACACTGATGAGCACTCTTAGATACCTGAAAAGATGACATCTGTGAAAAGTCAGGTCCTCATTTTAAATCCTGGCTCCTAATACCTCTCTTTTCCTTTCTACTGAAAAAGTAACATGGGCAAGGAACCACTACTGATTAGGCCTAGGGTTTAGTACTGAGCTTTTAAGAGAAAAAGCAAAGGAGGAGTAGCATAGAAAGTCATCTTCCACCTTAAATCCAGCCTCCTTTATTCAAAGCAGCCTATGTCTGCTTCAGGGCTGACAGTGATGCTTTCAGGATCTCGCTTCAAGGGGGGAAAAACCCCATATTTACAGAGACATCTAGTGGCTAAGTGGGATAAGCACATTCCACTCAAGGTTAATGACTTGGCACCTGCCAAGCTATTTTTTTCATGCTAAATGAAGCAATAAAGTTGTGTAAGACTGAACCTTTTTGTACTTGTCACCCCAGCACTCAGACAGTGCCATGATAAATCAAACCAAGTTAAACACTGTAGTATATCATTAGCCAGCAATTTTATGCCTGTTTTACTTTGATAGTCTCTGAGCTTCAGCAACAGGGCCCCCTATCAACAAAGTTTTGGACATGTACAAGTAGTTGGTACGCTTGGTAGTGTATGCCCTCCGTTAGCACCCAGAATATTTGGACAAAGCATGACAGAGCTTGTGCTACATTTCAGATGATTTGTAAAGTTAAAGCAGCCTTTCTGCTGTCATTCAGCACATACTGAAGAGGGGCAGCATTCAAACTTGTTCTGCTGCAGTGCCAGAGAGAACATAGGGCAGTCAGGGTAGAGTCATACCCCAGCTGCAACTTCTTTTCTGCTTTTGGAACTCACAGCCCAGATGCAGCACATTGAAAAGCCAGTAAGGTATCTTGGGGAAAAAACGTACAAATTGCCCACACTACAATGGGAGACTGAGAAAAGGGAGCCACACAAGTAAGCCATCTATATAGAAACAAAAATGGTAGGCCTGCTTACAGCTCCTCTGCCAGCTCTGCACCTGGTAGAAGAAATTTTGATGCTAGCTTTCTAGCAACAACTGTTTCATGGGAAGTCCATTAGGAGTTTGACTCCATCTTACTAATGTACAGATGACTATTCCCCCACAAAAACACAAACTGGACACTGAGTTGATGTGATTAAAAGGCTAAAGCTAGCCAGTCTTAGTAGTTCTTAAAAGATATTGATGCATGTAGACTAACATTAGGTTTCGATAATAACTTTTAGCTGTTTGCAGGATTAAACACAGGCATTTTTCTAACCTTCACTAAACTGTTACTGTATTCACAAGGCAACACCCATTTTACATTGATAACTTCCCCTAAAGAAGGCAAGGTTTCCTCCGTTTCTCCCCTCTTCCCAACAATTTTAGCAGTCACAGAAATCCTTCCATCCACTTCTATTCAAGTGAGGGAGGCAGTCAGCACTTACTTGTGTCCATTTCTGTCCTTTTTCTAGAATCATGAAGTGTGTATTATCATCCAGAGACTTGAAGAACTCTTCTGTGTCCACAACCGTGCCATCTTCCTCCAAAACCAGAGTAACTATTCCAGCAGATATAAGAAAGGCATCTAAAGTCTGCAAAAAACACAGCAGATTTTTAGCATTCAAAAGAGGACCCATCCTTTCATAATAAGACTTACTTATCTGACATACTCTCCCAACTTCGCCAGTAATGATTTTTAGAAGAATAAGGGTCTATGGGTTGCCTTTCTGTGATACTGTATTTCACTAAGTTTCATCCAGAGTGTGACTGTTTGCTGTACCTTGCTGATGAGCTCTTGAAGACTGCTTGCCACAATTCCTTTCCGGCTGCTTCTGGAGGCATTCGACACACGGAAAGGTCGCCCTGCAGGCATGAGAGGAGGGAACAGGGTCTGTTTTGTTACTGCTCCCACAGATGCTCCCATGGATACCAAAGATCTAAGACAAATAAAAATTCACCATAGTTACAAAAATAGTTACGTCAAGTACTGCAATGAGGACTGTTGGGTTCAACGAGGTAAGCACATTATACGAGTAATTCACAGGTCATGTTAGACCCATGGAGCTTGCTTTCAAAACTAAACACTACATAGCCCAACAGACATGTCATCTCTGAGCTTTCTCTTGCTAGTGACATTTGAAAACACTTCTAAAATTAAAAACATTCTGAGCAGATACGGGCCAGCTGATGTCAAGGTCATGATTACAGTGAGGCTGACAGGTTTTTAACTCTGAATTAGAAAGGCAACTCTTACTGCATTCAGGTACTTAGATCATTCTCTTTCCCTGCAACAGAAACACTCAATGAGAGAACACAAGACTACTTCCAACTAATTATTTGTGTTTGCTTTTGGAAGAGTGAACATATTACCCATATTCAAAACACCTAGCATTTTGACACAGTTATGCTTGTCTTCCAGCTGAGGTGTTTAGTTTATAAATAATATCTACAGCCTATAAAACTTCATCTAGTTCTGAAAATCAGAAAATAAAACTTCCACCCTCATGTATCTAAAGAAGTCAAATGAAATGAAAATTAAGATCAAAGTATATCAATGCATAGTGTTGGACGAAGCTGCCAGAGGGGCTGGAAGATTCAAGCACTTTTAGAAAAAGGTTTTAAATTTTCCTGAGCAATCCCATTTTTTAATAGTGACTGTTTAGTTTCCTTCAGGTAAACCGAGTACAAAACACTGGTAACAGCCTACTCCCACACCAAGGTACAGACCTGCTCCCATCCACCTCTGACAGCTTTTAGCTGCAAAATTACATTGGTTAATTCAATAGCCAGATTGCCAAAAACCACCCACTGAATGACACCTGGAAAGGACTGATCTCTAACAGGTCTTTTAAAGGTAGACAATACTTTGTCTTCCACACTCCTGGACTTTGCCCCCGTATACTTTTTGCTCCTTAGTACTGAATTGCACAGGGTTGGGAAAAGGATGCACTCCAATTTTATTCTTCCACATAGGTGTAAAAGATCTTTATGTAGGAAAATCTATCCTCAGATACTTTTACAGAGGGGGAAGGGAGTGAACTGACAGTCTCTTCAGGCAGCCAGGGAGTGAATACAGGAATTCTTGAAACAATGATGGAATGGCATAAAGTTACTCAACTGATTATGTCCCAGTCACATATTTTGTTCAAGTCCACACTGACCAGGGAGAATAACTCTCTTTTCCAAATCTCTTATTTGGTTTTTAAGCATATTTCTGTGATGCACAGAAAGTAATTTTTGTGACCGGCCAGATAGAGTTTCAGCAATAAATTTACTTTCTGCTATCATTCTGAATGAGTTTTCTACAGAACTTTGGTCTATTGCCCTTCCTTTGTACATCAAAACTTACCTTCCTCAAAAGCTCCTCAGCATTACTGGAGCTTTTGTTGTTTTTTTTTTTGTTTGGTTGGTTTTGGTCTTTTTTTTTTTTTTTTTTTTTTTAAAGTCCCTGGCTTTCAACAGTTTGCATATATACCCATGGCTGGTGGACATCTCTCTCCTTCCTGTAACAAAGCTGGTGAGGATGAGAAGTCAGTATAGTTTTCAGGAGGCAGGTACTGTTTCAAATTAAAGAGCTAATAAACACTTCTTCCTGGAAAAGGGTCAGGACTTGGGAGGAAGACAAGGTGACAGAGTAGCACTGACAAAGGCATTGAAGCTCCACAGACAAGGAAGCATGCTGTAAGAGGGAGTGTTTGTTAATCACTGACTAAGTTAGTAGTCCCCAATCACCCTGCTGGTCCATGGGCAGCTTCCATTCTGAATCACTTGGGTCTTTTCCTCAGATACAAAGCGTGCTTATCTACCTTGGGGCTGGTGACTCCAATTCATGAGGCTCCCTGGTGTCAGAAAGCACAACACTCAAGGTTCAAGAGACAACTCGTTCAGAGCTAGTTACATCCTGTTCCCTCTCACACATTTGAAAACCAGCACGTAGAATGGTTACTTGAGTGGTATATATGACAGCACTGCCAAGATTTTTCTTTTTTTAAGACAGAAAATACCAGCTCCATTGAACAGTTTTATTTCCCACTACTTGAGCCAAGCTGCCATTCACAAAAGATAAAGCATAAGGAAAAAAGCCAAAACATACATCCCAATACAGAATGAAAAGCTTTAGCGGCACAGCTCAGGGGCAGGACTTGAGCTAACAGTGTTCAACCTCAGGCTTTAGAGCAACCAACTATACAAACCAGATTTTGCAACTCTGAGAAGTTTCTTCAGGATTCAAGATCAATCACCAGACACTGCTGTCTAGTTCTATCAGATGTAAAAAGCCAGAGAGAAATATAACAAAACAGATTAATAAACCAGGACTTCCATTAGCTCCACCAGTCACCTAACAGGAGTCCAAGTCTTAACATCGATGCCACCTCACCTGCATTTCAATAAAACCAGTCAATATCATCTTTAAACTACATCTGCATATGAAGCACCAGTACAGGCGGAGGTTTCAGTTAATGAGAAGTACTAGGAAACAAAAGTGCGATTAAAAAACAGGCCAGACAAACAAGAGTGTGAACCCTTCCGTTGCTGAGCCTGCTACTGAAAGCTTGTTTTTTCTTTGTTTACACACACACACAAAGGCCACAGACTCCAACAGAGTCTAGGTTTAGGGCTCCTGGAAAGATTCTTTCTGCTGCAGCTGTCCTCAGAAACCAGACAAACTGACTCCTGATGCAGAGAATTCCTCTGCTAGATTTGGAGCTACCAAAATAATTTCCTATTGAAAGCTGATCAAGCTAAGTCTGGAAACACGAGGTGGAAAGGAACATACCAAGGTGCAGCCAGCTTTATGAGAAAGTCAAGTAACATGCTGGATACTGACAACACTGCTGTTCTATTATTCTTCAAAAGGATCAAGTCCTCACTTTTCCCTAAAGGAGTAATTCCATGTCAGTGCAACACACAAAAATATATTTTTAATTGAAAGAGCAAACATCTTCAAACTCTGGCATCTTGTCCAGTTTGTTTTGTATAACTATGACCTGCAAGAGAGGGACTCACAGATACTGCCCCAAGCATTCACTGTAGCATCAAGGCTGGTGGGACAGATGAATTAATTGCTCTTAGGAGAACCAGGAGATCAAAAGCTTACCCTGAGCCCTATACACACATTTCCCCTTTATCTTTGCTCACAGTATGCTTTGTATGTTTGTCTAAGAATGTGGTGCAATGGTCTTCAGCCTCACTCAGAAAAAAAGAAGTCAACATTGCACAACACGTGCGGCTTCGGACTATGGCACGATTTAACTTTTAGGTTAGAGTTCACAGGCAAATGACAAATGCAGTAACAGTGAAGCAAAAACAAAAGCCAGAAATCAGTCAGGAGACTTGGTTTCTCTGCTAAGACACTAACTGTAGGTAGAGATGCCAGAACCGCAGCTAGGAGTAGATCAGTCTGTGAGCAGCATACAGACAAACCTTTCCGGACGTGGTCAGCACACCCCAAATGTAAGCAAGGGGCCGGGAACCGTGGTCATGCTGCCACCGGCTACAAGAGGCCCCACGCCCACCGCACCAGCTACCTGCACACCAGACGGCAGCTTCCCCATTGCCGAGAGAAGAACGCGTCCCAGCCATTAGACCTCAGACAGGGGTTAAGGCTGCAAAGCTCCTGCTCGCATTGCCCTCGGAACTCCGTCTGAGGCTCAAAAAGGCTGCGAGAGCTTGCTCCTCCCACACAGCACCCAGCAGATTTAATACAGCACAGGCCGACTGTGATTAGCCCTCACACTGTGCCTGGCAACCGCTCTTCGCTCCAGGACGCCGACAGTTATCCAGCCTCGGCTCTCCCCGCGCTTCCCCCAGCCGGGACCAGCGGGGAGGCAGGCGGCGCTCGGCCGCCAGGGCCGGGGAGCGTGGAGCATATGGGCTATGTGGTGCGCCCATTACTCACCGCACCAGCAAGCCCACGTAGTCCCGCGCTGCCTCCATGACCGCTCCCAACCCCAGGAGAAGTCGGGCCGCGAAGGTTAAGTGTTGTGGGCGGCGCTCCTCCCCGCGGCGGGGCGGACCCGACACACAGGCCGGCCTCCCCCGGCAGTGCCCGGAGCGGGGGCGTGCTGGGCAGGGAGGCCGCACCAAGTGGCTTGTCCCGGCGGAGCGGGGTCCCGGCTGGCTTTAAAGGTAGTCGTCCTCGGTAATTTATCCAGGAGAGGACTAGGGAGGGCTTTGCTGTGAGTGAATTACATACTAGATGTTACCTGGTTACAGCTAATACAGTACCGGGGAAGCCGATCTTAGCTGAAGCCTCTCAGCATTAGAGCAAATCAACAGATTAGGGTTGATTTGCTCTAATGCTGTAATTAGGGTGTCTCAGCTTCTGATTTTAGAGCCTGTGAATAAGCTTACAGCCTGGATTAATGCATACAGTAGACTTATTTAGTGTTACTCCTACAGGCATGGGAGCAGCCCATGTTTTCTGTTCATTGCACAGGTACAACGGTAGGTTTTTTTCTGCCTGCGTATGGACACAAATACAGCGTAGTTTTTGGCACTGAAGTCAGGCTCTGTTTCTTAGAGCTGTCCAGTCACTACTGCACAGGGAACACAAGGCAAGGACCTCAGACCCTGGCTCTCAGGCAACAGCGTGGCCAAGGGCCAGCATTCACACCAGGAAACCCTGTCACTGCTGTCCAGGGAAAGACTCTGGAAGCCCTTGCCACCAGCACTCAGGGCGCCCCCAGGATCAGGAATAGGAAGATACCTGGTTGCTAAAAAAAAGCAATCGCTTTTCCTGCATTAGCCTTTTCAGGGCATGAAGAGCCACTCACAGCATTTCATTACTCACCAGGCTTCTCTAACTAACAGGCTGGCCCCCGCCTTCAATCTTCAGCTTTGGGGCATTTATCAGCTATTAAGAAACAAACAAACAACCTTTCAGGCCAGGGCAAATTGTTTTCTGGGAAGGAATCTTCTTCCCAGCCTGGTGAAAATAACTCCTTTCTTCGGAGCAAGCTTAGACCAACAAACTTCCCACTGGGAAGCTGAGCCCAGACTTTTATCTCTTTCTACTCAGGCTCAGGGCTTGCAGGTGTGTGGGGACTGTTCTCCTATGTTAACCCATTCTTTTCCTGTTTTCTATGACATTTAGTTTTGTTACAGTTCTGCAGTGTGCCACTGACAATTTACCACAGAGAGCAGGAGATAGGGAACAGTAAACAGTTCTCTGAGCACTGGACTACAATGTTTTTGCCTGATTTGTAGCTTGTGGTTGATTGTGGGCCACAGTTGAACTTATTTATGCAAAATATCTCATTTGTAAGGAATCCTTACTAAGTGTTTCTCTACTGTCAAAAAAAGTTGTGTATATACTAGCTTGTCCTGTTGTGGGGGGAGAAAATAGGGATGAAGGAGAAGATATTTTGTCAGAGAGTTTGTCTCTTCCTACCTCTGCATGTGAAAGGGAAGGGAGACTGCCCCTTCAAAACCATATCGAAATTGCAGTAACTTTAAGGATTTTTCCCAACAGGAAAGTGGAGAAGTGGAAATTTTGGTCTTGCAGGAGCTTAGCTTTCCTTGGTCCCATGCCTCTTCTCAAGGTCTCCACAGAGACATGCAACCAGTGCAGCCATTGCCAGGCAGCCTCCTCAGTGACATACCCCCTGTAAGGCCTGCCACGGCTGTAAGGCAGGGACAGTGTGTGTTGCAAGGACATGCTGCTTCAGTGACATTGTGCTTCAACTTGCATGGCAGTTGTCATAACTAATACAAATGCAATTGTTGACTGAAGAGTAACAGGAAAAACGTGTCCTTTTGAGGTCTGTCCTGATCTTTAAGAGAGGAGGATGTTACCTGTAGTTTCACAAGCTCCACTAATGCTCCCTTTTTCCTGAGCAAGCAGCAGTAAAACCATCAGATGGGTAAAATCAGTGACCTAGGAGCTGGGCATCTCAGCTAAGAAATATCTTTGAACTTTGATCTGTACGCAAGACAGTGTAGAGATGAGATGTGTGTAGGACCTACTGAGGAACAGTATAAAACAGTAGAATGAGATGTATCTGGCTGTCCAAGGCAAAGAGTGTGATCTTCTAAAAAGATGAAAGACAACATTCAGTATAAAATTACTATCTGTAAGAGGCAGAATTATCCCACTGTCTTACAGGGAGGGAAAATGAACTGTAGGCTGAGGTGAGGAGGCCAGAGTACTTAGCAACATTTTGCTTAAGTCATCATGAAAGCAGTTGTCATGGAGGGGACAAAGTACACAGCTGATGTTGAAAGGAGTGAGCACTAGAGGGGGAGTTAACCAATTGTGCTAATCCCTCTTACTAAATTGCTGTCTTACTGTCTCTTTCCTGAGATGCAGTAACTAACTCCACACGTGGTACTTGTTCACTGCAGTTCGAGTTAAACAAGTTTGCTTAAGTCTCTCCTCACAGGGGTCATAGCGCTATGAAAAAAGGGCTGCACATCACATGTTTAACAGGAAGGAGAAGGCACTTGAAGTAGTTTTGCATGCAGCTTCAGATTAGTGAGTGCGCAGTATTAGGCTAGGTTTTCTTTACCACCCTTCAAGAAAAATATTGACCGATCAGAACAAACCCAGACAAAAGTGGGAGTGATGAGAGATCTGGAAAACATGGAATACGGGCTGTGTACTTTGGGAAATAGGAAGTTTGGGTGGATATGTGAGTTACAGGCTTCGGTGGTATTAGAGAACTCCAAAAAGGAATGGGATAAAATTTTCTTGTGCCTACAGGGGCTTAACCTGTAGGAAAGGAGAATTAAATTCTCCATTAAGAAACATTTCAACTCTCGGGTGGCTGTTTGGTGTCCTGGTTTGTCTTTCGTGACATTTGAACACTGGCCCAAGCAATGTCTCTGTCCAACTGATTTACCCTCTTCAGCTGGCAACTGATTCCAGCACCAAAGATCAGTTTGGACATTTCTTCTCTTTCTTAAAGCTCTGACAAACTACAAGATTAATGCAGAATAAAGTGCCTTGCCTTCCTTGATCTAAGAGGGGAGTGCAAGAAGTGAACAGCAGTATTTACAGCAGCATTAGCAATGAAAGTAGCAGATTACAAGAGTTAGCTTAGATTTGCAAAAGTTAACCTTCTGTTCAGCCTTTCGGCCCTTTCCTGGTTTTGGCTAAGTCTGATCCTGATTTCTCTTAGAACCACTCTTGTGAATTATTTCTTATCCCTTTCATGAAGACCCGGTTTTCCATTCTTCACTGTGTCCTCAAAATGACAATTGTTTCTGAACTGCTTTTACTATTCAGCAGATTTCTGTCTCCACTGCCTCTGGTTCTGCTTGATTTCTGTCAGGCTGTTCATGGTAAAGGTTTGGTTATTTATTCTCAGTATTTATGTTAACGACTACTACACTGTCACTGAAAGTTTTGAAGAGCAAATTGACAAGCATCTATTACGGAAGGCTTAGATAAAGCTGATTATTTTGAGATGAGATTATGGAGTGAAAGATGAGTGTGCTTTTTATCATTTTCCACTTTTCGTCAGAATCTTTGTAAATGAAATCGCATTTTATAATGCCTAACAGCTCTGAAGGAGCCACCGAGGGTTTTTATTAGGTGTACAGGAGGGGATAAGGCTCCTCCTAAAGGTGATCTCTCTGCTCTGCAAGGATATGCAGAAGCTGGGAGCATTTTTTGGATTACCAATTAAAATCCTCTGTAATTGGCTGGAAATGGTTCTGTGGCCAGCAAAGATTTCGATGTTGAAACCCTGTTTGAACAATAGACTAATACTTTGCTGCAGTGAACCATCTGGCCCAGAAAAATGTTTGAGTTTTCGTGGGTGGTCATTTTGTTTTATTATTTTTTGGTTTTCAATAATTTTAATAAGAAAGTGTTGATGGATGAGCACATGCTGTATACATGGGAAAAAATACCCTGCCAAAGGTAGTTTAGTGGTGTGAAATTATTCAAACATGAATTCAAATTTAGACATTTTAGAGTTGGGTATTAAAATCAGAAGGCCAGGCTTTGCCCTCATTTACCCCCTTTGCAATACTGTACATGTGAATGAATTTTTCATAATTCAAATATGAAAACATTTCATATTTCTGGGCAGTATTTAGCTGAAAGCTGACTTACTGAGAGCTACATATGTGACATATGTGGGCATATGTGGGCATATTTTTCATAATTCAAATATGAAAACATTTCATATTTGTGGGCAGTATTTAGCTGAAAGCTGACTTACTGAGAGCTACATTGTGACAGCAGTAATGATAAGCAGAAATAAGATTCATTATTGAAACCAGTGTACTAGAAAATTAATATTTATTTATTCTGATCATGCCAAGGATAATCTGAAATCTCTATGTTTCAAAAGTTGCAACTTCAAAAAATGTATAAACTCCAAATAAAACTAAATTACTATTTGTTTTTTTTTTGTTTGTTTCTAGCATCTTTACACTTTATTATTATTTAGCGATACTCCCTATAGGAAGAAAAGAAAATATTATCCAAAAAGAAATATGACTTTTTATTTTAAAAGCATTTAAATTTTATTTCATTAAGCATCTCTCCACAAAATGAGAGGCTATCATCCCCTTGAGGCTATCATGCCCTATCTTCTGGCTGCCCCATTCCTGGCAATGAGCAACCTGGTCTAGTGGAAGTGTCCCTGCCCATGGCAGGGGTATTGGAACAAGATGAACTTTAAGGTCACTTCCAACCAAAACTATTCGATGATTCTATGATTCTATCAAGTGTGGAATTGTCCCATAGCTGCAAAATAATGTTATGATTTTTATAGCACATCTTAAAGAGCTTCAGACTTCAAGCAGCATTCCAGAACTCCTGACTCCCAGACTGAACTGTGAGCTCATGCTTCTTTGGTAGCTGTACTAATTAATTAAAAAGTAGAATTAAAAAAATCTTCTTGGATAAGGAGTATCTCTAGTTTATGTCTTACATGGCATACTTTCAAAGTTTAGTTAGAATTAACCATTATTGTGTTTTGGGTTGATCCAAATGATAAAGATTAAGGCAGTAACAGTCAGACAGCTTAATGGATGACCTTCCTGAGGTCATTTGAATCAGTGTGTTTCAGCCTGTGATGT